TTAGGAAATACATAGATCCTTATTATTGTATTTTTAAAATACAATTTATTTGGCTGCCCTGGGTCTTAGTTGTGGTGTGCATGCATGCTAAGTAGCTTCAGTTGTGTCTGACTCTTTGTGACCTACCAGGCTCCTCTGTCCATGGGGTTTCTCAAGGCAAGAATATTGGAGTGGGTTGCCATGCCCTCCTCCAGGGGATCATTCCCTTCCAGGGATGGAACCCATGTCCCTTAAGTCTCCTGCGTTGGCAAGTGGGTTCTTTACCACTAGCGCCACCTGAGAAGACCTCCAGGTCATGGGTCATAGAATAACCTAGGACAAGTTAAAATACAAAAATAACCTCACAACATTCTCTGAGAGTGTTGTTTTCAAACATTGATTCTAAATTTCTGCTTCTGCAACCTACATCCAAGTTGCTTATAAGCAATGTAAATTGCTTTCATAGCTTTGTTTTCCATCCTTTTAGTTTCTACCCACCACTAATGGATGGCAGGTAGATAGCTCTGATCCACTGCAGGATGTCTGATGTTGGGGTCATAATTGGCTACTGGTGGGCAGGTGGCTCCACTGGTCAGTGTGGTGGAGACCTTCTGAGTGTGGGGGTGGCTCTGAATTGTGTGATGGTTGGGCTTCCAGGTCTTTATTGCCCTGGGTATAGTCACAGGTTCTACCCTACATTCCTGACCTCATCACCTATACTCGCACGCCCGTGATTTCAGTAGAATTGAGGGAGCACTTCTACTGTGGGAGGACCCAGGGATCTTTAACTCCTGGAGTCAAGTCAGTCTGCAGCAAACTGACAAATCTTTGGCGCAGCATAGCACCCAGGCATCTCCAATTGGGGTTCCTTCTGGAAGATTTCTCCACCTGTGGCAGCCGCTCAGATTTGAACCATGTGCTCTGACCTTTCTGTGGCCTCTTGTTCAAAGTTGCCTGCAGACTTCTCTGTGATGGAGGCTTCCTGCCAGTGAGAAACCAGGACCACACTTTCCACCATAACTGAGTGTAGACAGGATGCACCTCACTGAACCACCTGGCCTGTCTGACTCCATATTATTAAAAACAGAGACTCAGATTTTTTTTTATAAAAAATTTATTGAGATGATGCAATTATAGGCTTTTCTTTAAAAATTATTTGCAACTCACTGGCCCTGAGAAAAGGCATTTTTTTTTGTTTTTCTTTTTTTTTGTTACATTCATTTGATTCAGTCCCTTATAAACCCCACACCTCATAAAACAACAAGATTAGAAATTAAAAAAAAAAATTCTAGATTCAGTCTGGTTTGCAGGTGGTTGCAGTCACAGAGAGAAATGGTGAAGTGTCCACTTGGCATGTGTGAAAGATTCAGGGAGTTGTTTAGTGTTGATGCAGATGAGGCCAAAAGAGCATCAGGTTCGTCTTCTGTGGTTTGCAGGGAGCACTGTACCACCCCACCCCAGCTCACCCCCACGGCCCTTGGGTCACTCCATTACTGCTTAGAAGAGGAAGGGGCTGAGTGGGTGATAACTAGCACCGAATGCTTGGGCGAAGAAACTGCCCTTTGATCTTTGTGTGTTTCCCCAAATTTTCATCTTCAGCTTCCTGGATGGGAATGGGTCAGATGGGGGGATAACCGGGGCTGGATCCCAGTCCTAATTCTGACCCTGGTGTGCCGTCTGCTCCTGGGACAAGTCACATGGCCTGATACTCAGATTTCCGTTCTTCAGAAGGAGAGCTAACGTTTCAAACATGTGGGATCCTAGGCAGTGAACGGTGGAAGTGGTGGTTACCTAGGCAATTAGGTACATCCTGTCATGGCCTTTAAGTTTCAGCTAAATCTACATTCTCATCTGGACAAAGTATCAGTGTAGGAAGATAATGGAGCAGAGGGTTCTAAACATACTGTTGAAAGGAGAGTAATCCATCAGTTGTTACTCCTCATTGCTCATGGGGACACGCCCACCCGCCAAAGGATTCGGAATATCTGTGATGTTACCTCAGGCAAGACAATGTCATCTGGGGACAGAAAGATCTTAGATATAACATTACTCCCCTGGAGCCAGTCCAGCCACTTGCCACTGCTTTCTTCTGATGGAAAGGAGACACCCTGGCTGCCTCAAGGTGTAGGGAAGAGAAGATGCTAGAGAATTTCAAGATCCAAGCGGGAGTGTCTGCCTTGGACACCGCTGGTGGGTAAGGTTGCTCCCTTGCAGCACTGTTCTGCCTCTTCCTTTCCCAGTTTCTCATGTTGCAAGCCAAGAGCTCCCATGACGGCAGCAGGAAAAGGCCAACTATTCCGACCAGGAACGTGCCCTTAATTTGGTCCCAGGTGAGATTTTTGTCGCCCCTAGTGTTGAAGTGAGACATTTCATGCTGGATAGATTCTGCAGGAAGAAGGTGAGCTCTCGGAGGGCAAGGATGGTGCCTGGCTCTTGGGGCTGTGTCGAGCAGGTGCCCCACCCAAGTTGGCTAAGCTGAACCTGCAATCTTTCGGGTCTGCTGTGGACATGATGTATCCCTACTGTCAGCATCACTCAAAGATTCCCTCAAAGAACCAATGAGAAGAACCTCTGCCATTAAGGGAATGAACAGAAAACCAGTAACGGTAATATCTGGATGGACAATAAAGACTGGATTGGAGTCGACACCTTCTATTTCTGCAAGTGGCTGATGCTGCCAGCCTGTGCCTTACAGATTCTTAGAGGATATTGCTTTAAATACAGAAACCCTGGGGGCAAAGGGGAATTTCCTCTGCACAATTCAACTGTTAGGATTCTTTGGACCACAAGAGTCCGAGTCCTTACACCTGGGTGAACAGAGATTCTCTGATGTCACATCGCACAAAAAGCCTCAGTGATGATCCACCTTTCTCTGCAGCCCTTCAACTCAGTGACTTCCCAGGTATTTGGCTTAATCTCCCCATTTGAGAGCCAACATCAGTCACCTTCCAGGCTGGAAGGTTATCCCCGTGTGCTGCTGACACTCTTGAAAGACACCTGTAGCACGCTGGGTCTCATCCCCATTGGAGCAGACTGAGGCCAAACCCTTCCTTCATTAGGGGACCCTTGAGCCCACACTGGAGGTCCCTGACCTCACTTCAGGCCCAGCATTCTAGAAGGTGGACTGGGGGTGGGTGTTTGCGATGGTGGGAGGAGGCCGGCCACCTCCATGCATCTCTCTGTGGTCGCATAAGAGGCAGGAACGTTTCCAGTGTCCTTGAACGACAGTCAGTCTGTCCCCTTCCACTCCCTGCTGGCTGGTGTCCTTGTCAGTAGGGCTGGGGAGTGGGGGAGGGGACGGGAGAATTTCTCCTGCCTGTGTGCCCACAACCCTGGCCTGCCTGACTCCATCAGAAATGGCTGGAGGACATGCCTGGAGGTCTGCTGGCTTCATCTGCAAGCGCTGCTGACAGTGCAGACACGTACCCTGGGGAGCTATGAGATGCTCGCCCAACAAAGAAGCAGCGGAGAGAAACCAGGAGGCGGTGCTGTGTAAGGCAGGTCTAACCTTTCTGAGTAAAAAAGACTGTACTCCTAATGTTGGATTCCGAGCCTGTATTGGAAGAGTTGATTTAAGTGGCTAGAAAAAAAAATCTAACAAGAGCTTTCTAAAAATATGTTATCATCAAACGTACTAAGAGGTGGCACCTTCCTCATAAGATGTGACTGATCTTACTTTGAGGTGAAAAAGAGCCACGCATGAGTCCATTTTGAGACACAGCAAGGGAAGAAGGAAAAAGGGAAAAAGTGAGGAATCTGAGGAATTTCCCGTCTGCCCAGGCTTGGCAAACACTGCTGACAACTGAGACGACACACTCCTGGATCCTCCTTCTCAAATGCCCTGTGTCACCAGGAAACTTTAAAAAAAAAATGCTAGGAATTGAGGGGGGAAAAAAAAGGATATGAAACTGACTGCAAGCTGGCCTTTGGGATAGAGCTGAGAAGACCCTCTGTAACCTGCTCTGGGATAATCCACAATGCCACCAAAGACTTGTCATCTAGTTTCTGGACCATAAGGCTTGTGTTGTCTTTTTTTTTTTTTTGCTCTGTAGCACTTGCAAACTAATCCCATGATGCTGGGGCTTCCAGATTATCTGGACAGCCTTATGCTCTGGGGAACCACCAAGCCTCACGGTCCTCACAGCCGATCGGGGTGGCCTGTTGGACTCATATGTATCTTTCCGGAGGACAGCAGCATCTCTGGGGCCTTTGGCCTCCCTCTGGTAGGGAGCCAGATGCTGGGATGTGGGTTTGATTTTTGTGGTGCCAGCTGCAAAGCACCCAGACCATGTATTCCAATGTACAGGTGTGGAAAATTCCCAAGACTCTCCAAGAGGCTGAACTCCGCTGAAAGGGCATCTGAAGTTCAACAGCCAGTGAGGAGGGAGGAGCGGGGGCCAGGAAGGAAAGGGAGCCAGAGAGAGAAGAGAGCTCTCCTTTTCACTTCATCTTTTGTAAGAGCATCTTTTTTTTTTTTTCCTTTTTCCAGCCAAGACCCAACAGCAACAGGAACAAACCTGATCCACGTGGCAGGGTCAAGAGGGAACCTGAACCCTTTTGCAAATATTCTCTCTCCTGACCAGCTGGGCTTCTGCACTTTGTGAGATTTGCAAAAAATAGAGATATATATATATATAATAGATATGTATTTCCATAGGAAAACAGCCTCAGATGTCTTCCCCTATATGAATGATGAAAAGTCAAACTGCATGGTCTTTTTTAAAAAAAAGAACAAAAACACCATGAAACTAACAATAGGTGGAGGGGGAGGGATCACAGACAAGAGATTCTGATCCAGAAGGAACCATGAACGCGAGTCCCAGGCTGGTGCCCTCGGCCAGAACTCCAGCGCCGCCTTTGCTGAGTGGTTTGTCTAAGGTGCTCCGAAGGGTCCCTCGCGCTGGGCGAGAGGAGTGTTACTGCCACATCCGTGTCTCTTCCTTTCTGCTCCATTGCCCCATCCATCCTGGGGAGGGTGGGGTGCCCTTGGCTGCTGGCCCACTAAGCCAGGAACCACTTCCTCAACACTCGTCTTCTTGGTATATTTGTTCATCCAGCTCCTGGGACTCGAGGTGCTCCAGACGGTCTGTTCGGCCACTCATGATTTCATCTGGGGTCTTCATAAACCTTTGGAAGAGGAAACGGTGGCATGAAGAGGTTACAGTTCCCTAAAGCTGTCTTCACCTTGAGCTCTTTAAAAAGAGGGGCCCGTCACCTTCACATAGCTGGAGGTCTACTGACCCTGATCGTTAATCCTAACCTAGCATTTTCTTAGAAAAAGATACCCTGGGCTCTCACTGCTTGAAAGCTGGCAAAATAACTATAAAAAAGGCTGGGAGGATGGTGAAGATGGAGCAGGCAGTGCATTCCTGCACGACCATCTGAGAGGATCCTGGGAGATACATACCCATCTCGATCCCAGACTATAAGCCCAAGTGATGGTATTCAAAACTTGAATCTAACTTGAAGGATACAATTAAATGCTGGATGAAAAGCTTGGGTAACAGGGCCAGACAGTGGGGCTTTTGGAAATTAGAAAGGCCAAGAGAAAGACATTTTTCAGCATTATCACTGATGCACCTTGAATGCTAGCCATTCACTCCCTTTATTCTGTCTTCCTTGCCAGCTGGGTGCCTACAGCAAGCCTCATCTCAGTTGCTGGGTTCATTTGGAAGTAACGTCAGTGGCACATTCTGACCATGACCATGGTTCAGGAAGGGAGCCAGGGTGCAAACGTTTCATCCTTATGGTAAGAAGGCCCTTTCCACAGCCTATATACCATTCCCTTCCCCTATACTCTGCCTGGTACCATATGACCTGTCTTAGAACAGGCATTTTCCGTCCTCACTCCACATTCAAAAGCCTAGGACTTGTCAAGGATTCACGCTTTGGCCTGCTCCTTGGGCCTCTCTGTCATCTCAACCCAGGAAGCTCCTGTGTTCCACCGTTTACGAGTGTGAACTGTATTCCAGTCCAGCCAGTCTTTGTTTTCTGATGCAAGTCACAGCGCATTGCCGACCTCCAAACCTTTAGCTTCGCCTTTGTTTGGAACCCTCTTGACTCCTTCCCCTGTCTGAGACCAACTCACTCTCTGAGCTAGGTCTCACCATCAAAGAGCTGAAAATCTTCAAGCGTCCCTACAATTTAACACTTTACTCAATTACATACCTGGTTCCATACCGACAAGCCTTGGTTTTGGGGCGAGTCTGGTTCTTGACATTCATTTCCTCAAAAATGACTAATCCCTTGTCACAAATAGCGCTCTTCTTTCCTTCTGTCTTACTGAAATCACTACCGGAAACCTGTGAGCCTTCCACCTCTGACTACTTTTCTTTTCTGTCCATTATTGCTCATCTTTTCAAGCAGGGTGATCTGTAGCATCCACAGCCTGTCTTCCACTTTTATCCTGTAGCTAAAACTTCTCCCTTGACATCTTAAGTCACTAATCATCCCCTCAAGGCTGAGTCCTCAGATATGCTGTGTCTGACCCTGTCTTTGGATGGCTTTTCTATATTAAGTTTCTGATACTTCCCACCAGCCTTGTCCAAAAATATTATCGAAAGCTTCCTGAGGTTATATAAAACTGATATAAAATGTAACCCTCTACCTTCTAGAAGCTTATGACCTATTTGTGGGGAGGAGTTCACATGTACAGCTATTAAAAATGTAAATCACGGTGTGGCATAGGGCCAAGGGATCCCAAGAGATGATGGAAGAAGATATTTGGGTGTGTTTGAGCCACGGAAGGTGGCCTCATAAAGAGAATTAGACTTGAGGTAGATTTGGTGGTTTATGTTTAAAATGTTAAAGTGATTTACATTTCTCACATAAGGAACCACATTAGTGTTGGAGGGCAGCTGGCAATGTGTATTAAGAATCTAGGTGGCAGGGGAATGGACCAGAGTTAGAGATTGCTGAATCTAGGTGTCAATTGTGTCTAGACACTGCCCGGGAAGCAATAATAATGGGTCTGCCTTGCTTTCATCTTCCCGGTCACATGGGAGTACTTGCCATTGGTAGATTCTAACCTGGAACCTGGTGGTAAGAAATCTCAGGAAATGAGGTTTCCAGTCTTCTAGCCCCTGCAACACAGACTGGAGTAGGAATGGAGCCAGTGGACAGTCCAGCACAGGGGTGACTGGGATGTAGGAAGGCTCAAAGATAACTCTGGTGTAAAGGTTGGTTGCTTAAACAATGGTGATGCCACTGCTGATGTAACAGAAATTCTTAGGGTAGGCGGATGTCCAGTATGGGAAGAAGGCTGGTCTTGAACATTTCACGTCTGAGATACTAATGTGATATTTAAGTGGATATCTCTTCCAAGAAGCTCTTGAACATGAACCACTTACTGCCCAGAGACCTACACATCTTTTGTTACCTGAATGTTATTGATTGGAGTGTTTCAGTATTTCAATTCCATAATAAATTCAATTCTGCAAAAATCCCCTAGTCAATAATGTGTTAAGATTTGGAATTCCAGGGAGATTTTATAGCTGCATGTAGAGACTTGACAGCCCCGTCATGGAGGTGATAACTAAGCTGTGTCGTGGGATCCATTCATGCAGGAAACTAGTATAAAGTGGGAGGAACAGAAGCCGAGGACTGAGTTTAGGGTGAAGGATGAAGGGAAGGCATCAGCAGAGCCAGAGAAAGGAGGGTTCTCTTTGCATTTTTTCTGTTTACGGCTCTTAAAAAGCCTTCTCTGTTTCTTTTGAAGATCAGACTTGTTTTTTACTGCCCCTAAGTCACCATGCCTTCCCAGCACTAACACCCAGGTTCTCTGCTCTTTCGGATACGTAATTATTCCCAGGGAGCTCGTGTGCTCATACACAGTGTCATTCAGTCTCTTTCTACCCCCGACCCACATCTCAAGCCCCATCTGTAACTCTCTTCCGCACCTGCCAAAACCCAGAACCTAAGGTCTGGGGCCCAGCTTCTCCTGAGCTTCACGTGGTCTCAACACATCAGTTACCACCAGGGTCAGAGGGCTCTGTCTACCTCTCCTGATTGGTCCCTTAGAGACCTTCTTTTTCCTCTTCTAACTGTATGTGATTCCCTGGGAATCACAATCTATGGCGGTAGGTTAAGTGGTTAGAACTCGTAAGCTGGGAGGAATTCTGGGAAGAGGAATGTCTAGTTCAGCGGCTTTCAGACATTTGCAATGCACTGTCATAAATATATCTTACAGTATGATTCATCACACACGTGCTCACACACACACACCCGACTACTCCAGAAACACAGTTTTCATGAAGCCACACTCTTAATTCACATGACACAGTCTGATATCTCCAACTCTATCCTTTCCTATTCAGTTCTGTTCTATTTCATTAAAATAAAAAAACAACAACCAACCTGATTCATTAAATCTGTTTCATGACTCACTAACAGGTCATGACCAACACCAGCCCAGTGTTGGCAACCTGGACGTCTACGTTTCTTTAGTCCCTTTCTTTGCCATTAGCTTCTCTGATTGCTCCCTTTAACTATACTGGGTATAAATGCCAGATAATACTGTTTGATCACTGCATTATTTTAAAGGTGAGTCAGACTGTGTTGATTTACTTTTGGCTTTCTTCTAGGACAGACATAAGCAAACAGAAAGTTTTTCTCCCTTAAATTCTAACCAACCAGCAACCTGGTCTCCAGTGAGTAGCAGTGATGGCTTTGAGGATCAGACAAGCAGGTAGAGACCTCAACCGTCTCCCTCCTCCATCTTATTTCAAGAAAACAATATCCTCCCAGAAGAAGGAAAGGAGAAAAAGGAAGTGCTACCTGAACAAAAGCCTTTGTCCCGGCTCCTTCCTGATAATGTTTAGTTTGTAGTAGTGGCGCAGGGCTCTGGACATTTTCTCATAGGTCATGTTTGTTCTGTTCTGTTTGTTCAGAGGAGGAAGAGAGAGAGAAAAAAAAGCACAAAGACACAATGAAATGAACCTCAGAAACAGGCGCTGGAGGAGTTACTCACATCCAGCTCCACAGGGTGCTCCCGTGGCCCTGCCAGGCCCACCCTGGGCTCTGTCCCCCGTGCCCTTGGCCGAGGTCTCTCCTAAGGTGAGTCCAGCCAACAGAGCACATCCCGCCTAGGCCTCCCCGACTTCCTCTCCCAGGACCGCGCTCTGTTGTGCCCAAAGAATTTCCTGCGGGTCCCCCTATCTGGGGTCATCCTTCACCTTCTGACCCACAGAGAACTTCCCTTCCTTTTGCCCTTTCTAAAAAAGAGAAAACAACACACAAAAAAGTGACCTTTCTCAGACTTGTGTTTCTCGTTTGTCATTTTAAGGAAGGGATTTTTTTTGTTTAAATTCCTGTTGTGGAAGCAAGAATACAGTGGTTCCGAGCCCTGGGGCAAGGGCACCCTGTGGGAGCTGTGGAGCGATTTTTCTCAGTGACTCACGGGATGGAGGGTGTCCATGGGGCCTGGCCATATTTGGTCATGGCCTCTGGCAGGTTCTCCTTAGCTGGCCCAGAGCATGGGCTGCCTGCCGTCCGGGAAACTGCAGCTGGGGCACAGCTCGGCAGGGCCTCCCCGGGCCCTCCCTTTGGGCTGATCTGGAGTGGGGCCTTCATGGTGTCTTGTCAGCTCTGTCCCATGTCTATCTGCCTATGGCCAGGCCTGGATCTTGGTGACTTTTTTTTAAGTAGGAATACTGATTTATCTCAATTTTTTTTTTTTTTAAACAGGGGAACTCTTTATTCTATTTTACTGTGATAAGAACACCAAACGTGAGATCTATCCTCTTAAAGTTTTAAGTGGGTAATACAGCACTTAATACAGTGTTAACTGTAGGTACACTATTGTACAGCAGGCTCTAGAACTTGCTCATCTTGATTAATGCAAGCTTTCTGTCCAATGGTTGGTAACTCTCCATTTTTCCCCCTCTTCCCAACCCCTGGCAACACCAGTCCACTCCCGGCCTCGGTGGAATTTGTCTGCTTTAGATCTAACTTCATTTAAGTGAAATCAGGCAGTATTTGTCTTTCTGTGACTGGCTTATTTCACTCAGCATCCTGTCCTCAAGGTTCATCCACGTTGCCACATGCAGCCGAATCTTTTTTAAAAGTGTAATACTACTCCATTTTGTGTATATAGCTCGATTTTGCTATCCATTCATCTATCCATGATGTTGAGGTTGTTTTACCCACCTTTTATATCTATGCACTTTAATGATTTTTTTCTAACTATAAAAGACTAAATCTTTTAAATTTGATTCCCTCTTCCCAAGCTGGAAAAATGTTGGGGCAGTCAGAATTCTTGCAGGGTTTGCTTTTCAGGGAGATGTTTTACAGTCAAGAGGATAAGCATTTTCTCTGTACAACTGGGCTTTTGTGACCATCGGAGTGTCTAACAGAGTGGAACAGAAGCGACACCTCCCGAAGGCCCCTCGTGAGTTATAAAGTGCTACACTGCATCCCTGGTCCCCAGTTCTTAATGCTGGCGTGGGCAGCAGCGGAGCCAGGCCATGGTGGGGGAGTGATGGTTACTCGTCACGAGGCCCATCAGACCAGGAGATGCTGAGTTAACTGCAGCCTGGCACGAGGAACACATGGAAAGGGGCATCTTTAATTACTTCCTTCCCCTTGCAACTGTCTTAATTGTTTGTCCGGTGAGGAATAAACTGAATAATTACAGGCTGACTTAGGAAGCAGAAGACAATTACCCTCCAACCCAGGGACAAAAACTGGATTTGGGCCCTAGTTTATGGAACAAATGTCTGATGCCCTTTTTACCTTATGGTTTCCCCACAGTCGAGCCAGTCCATTGGGATCCACTATCCGGAATATTTTGGATTCTTTGTCCTCCCATCGGATGAAGTTTTCGTACCGGCTGTCAGAAAGCAACTGATAGACGTAATCCCAAAGCAGTCTACAGTCTACAGAGGAAAAGGGCAAGAAAACACCATTGACAAGGCTGCTTGTAACTATGAAGAGCAAGAATCAAGAAAATAATTGAGGAACCGCTTTTGCCTTCTTCGGATTGAGTCCAGCCTCCTTGTTTTAGGAACTCCTTGGCAGTCCAGTGGTTAGGACTCTGTGCTTTCCCTGCCAAGGGCCAGGGTTCAATCCCGCAAGCCAAAACAAAAACAACAAAACTTTTACAGTGATGAGACCAAGGCACAGAGAGACCTGGGAGATGGCGACCTTTGACCTGTGGAGGACTTCGAGACCATCCTGGCCCAGACCCCCACTCCCCGCGAGCTCAGATGAGGACACAGCAACCCAGAAAGAGGAAAGGACTGGTCTACGGTCATGACCCAAGATTTGAACTTGACTAGAGCCCACAGGAGGGACAGAACAAGCTCTAATGGGAAATGAATCGGTTCTGAAAAGGGGCTGAAGACAGGATGGCAGGTAAAGGGCAGAGAGTGCCCTCGTGTTCCGGAGAGGGCAGTGTGGTGTCAGTGATGGGGTGGAAGGTCCTTTGGTGCGGGGACAGTGAACAGATGGAGATGTGATGACTAAGGTTGGCTGTGGGAAAGGAAGACCCATGTGGTTTAAGAAAACAGCCACCTTAGAGCTACTTTGGAGGTTTTAAAATAGTTTTATTATAATGGAATCAGGGTAGAAAGGAACCCAGGGCAAAAAAAAAAAAAAGTATCTGTTTCTCCATGTGCAGAACAGATGTTGGATTGCTTGGTCAGGCAACACATCTTCCTTAGCACAGGCCAGGTGCTGGGCTAGGCCCTGCCTTTTGGCTACGGGTTGGCAAATTCCACGAGAAGAGGCAGACTGCACCTTGACCTTGCTCCAGTGCTTACTGGATTAGTGCCAGACGGGATGTGGCCTGCTCCCCTGGCACAGCCTTGACAGGGGGATGGGGACAGATGTGGACTTTGCGGCTCTAGTTGGTGCAGGACCAGCCTCGGGATGAGAGTCAGAGACTCACCTTCCCAGGTGTGCGCTGATGTTTTGGGAGCACTGGCCAGCACGGCTGGTCGTAAATGAGTAAGTATTGGACACCGTGTGTGTGTTCTGCACGTTACCATGTTATTTCTGACCCTCACTTGGTGCGCCACCTCCTTCCTAATCCTCTTGTGCCCCCCAGGTCAGCGGGATCTGAACTCTGGGGCTTCTGTATGGCCAGGAGGAATGTCTAATCTTGACTTGGGCTATCTCAACGCCAACACATTCACCGCCCAGAGCACAAAACGCACCCTCCTCGGGCACACGTTTACAGGAGGAATCGAGTCAGGTTGCATTGGGCAAGTTTTTTCAATCTCCCTGAGGTCCCTCCGTTATGAAAGGGGAACGACAACAGTGACTCTTTCTGAGACTACTGTATGAGTGATGATGTGAGTGAAGAAGACAGTAAGGAGTGTCCCGATGATGGTGCGTGCTGGGTGCTGCTTGCAGGCATGGGGCCATGCGTGCCTCCAGCCACTTGCTTCTGACCCTCAGGACACCCGGTGCAGCCAGCACTGTTGCTATTCCTACTTCATGGCTGAGGAAGCTGGGGCTTAGAGGGTTTGGTCATCGGCTCAAAGGCACAGCTTATGACACAGGTCAGAGTCTGTGCCACACATCCTGCTGAGAACTCTGTTCTCAGAGAAGCTGGTTCACAGGTGTCTATTAGTCAAGCTTTAGGACTTTTCCAAGCAAGAGGAGTGTGTCCAGCCTTCCCTCTGAACAGCAGAAGGAACTGGCACACAAGCGCAGCATCTTCCAGGAGGGAAAAGTGTGAAAGTGTTAGTCGCTTGGTTGTGTCCGACTCTGTGACCCCCATGGACTGTAGCCCGCCAGGCCCCTCTGTCCATGGGGGTTCTCCAGGCAAGAATACTGGAGGGGTTGTCATTGCATTCTCCAGGGGATCTTCCCCACCCATGGATTGAACTGGGTTTCCTGAATTGCAGGCGGATTCTTTACCATCTGAGCCACCAGGGAAGTATCTTTTAGGCAGCAACCGTGAAACTTAAATTGGATATCCATTAAAATTAAAATGACCAGATGTCTTTTTTTAAAATCTATTTTTTCTTCAGTTACTTATGCTTTAAATGTCATATCTAAGAAATAGTTGCCTAAGCCATGATCACAAATACTTCTGCCTATGTTTTCTTCTAAGAGTTTTACATTTTCAGTTATCTTTTTTGTTTTTTAAATTTGGGTGCACGGAGAGGCGTGCGGAACTTCCCTGACCAGGGATCCAACATGAGCCCCCTGAGTGGAAGCATGGAGTCTTAACCACTGGACCGCCAAGAAGTCTGACCATACATCTTTAGTATCCCTTACTGTATCCTTTTTCCCCCCGATTGATCTATGTCTAAAATTTAATGTGGCGACTTCTCTGGCAGTCCAGTGGTTAAGACCCAGCCCCCTTCCACTGCAGGGAATGCAGATTCATTCCCTGATCAGGGAAGCTAAGATCCCACAGGGCTTGCAGCCAGAAACTCAAAACATAATACAGGAGCAATACTGTGTAACAAATCCAATAAAGATTAAAAAAAAATGGTGCACATTAAAAAAAAAAAGTTGACATGTGGTTTCTTGTGTTTCACCAAAGGACCCGTGGTGTCCTTAGAGAATTTCTGGCGTTTGAACCCCACGCTTACGAAAGCTGGCCAGCGATTGTCTTACCAACCCTGCCTGACACTGTGCTCGTGGTTGCCAGAGGGGGGTGCTAAGGAGCAATGAGACAGCAAGGGGACCAGTCCCAGCAAGAGGAAGTACCTTGGGAGGTGAGTGCCACACTATCCCAGACTGAGAATAACCGAGCTAATTTTTAAGACACTTGTAAGAGGGCAACTCCAGGCAAAGTGGCGAAGCAGGCAGTGTCATTCTCCCTCTCTGCCACCTCCTCATCTTATGTCATTTTTATCATAGACGAAAAAACAGAGAACTGAAGTGAAAGAGTGAAGTTGCTCAGTCGTGTCCGACTCTTTATGACCCCATGGACTGTCGCCTACCAGGCTCCTCCATCCATGGGATTCTCCAGGCAAGAGTACTGGAGTGGGTTGCCATTTCCTTCTCCAATAGAGAACTGAATTGCAGTTTAATTGTCCAGTTTGTGTCTTACCGTCAAACAGCAGATGGGTTTTAATTTCCGACAACCTCTTCCAAGTGGAAGCTATCTGACAGGACCAAATATTATCACACAAAATGCCCTTCCACTAGGAGGAACAAAGGTGGTTTGTGAAGAGCTTCTTGTCCATGTTTCTTGACAGGGTTACAATCTTTTTTACCACTTAGAGGCTTGATGACACCTTTTGGATGCTTGTGGATGGGGAATAAGATTCTCTAGAGTAAATCATTTTAATACAGTTTAATAATTTAAAAAAAGACTGATTTGGTCATCTTTAGCAGTTTGATAGAAAGAACTTTTTTTTGCCCACATGAAGGTAAGCGATGCATGGGTAGTCCTCTCAACCTTGAGAACTTCCTGGAGCTAAAATGTAAGATGAGTGTTGTCTTGACACCATCTGCTCAAGGATTTTCACTTTCATTGTTTCTGTTGCTTCTCTTTTACTGCCTTGTACATTCTATTTCTCATAAAATGGTGACGTGAGAACCAGACCACTTCTCAAAGTAAGGGTTTAAACCAGTTCTGGGTACCTACCACGCTGGGTTCTTGACAGGCATCAAACTGGGAACTTCACATTGTAGATCATTTACTGAAAAAGGTCTAGAATGTGATCTGTGTTTGGTTGGTACCTGGAAGGCAGGGTTTCCCAGAGAACGGACTTTACCTCTTGAGTTGTAAGACCATTTGTAGCCTGCAAACTTTTCCCTTTCATAAATGTGAAAAGAGCCCCAAACAAGCTGCCAATTGATCATTTTAAATGACATTTAATCCAGCAAAGTCAACTTTAGCCGAGTAATAAAAACATGTTGACATTCAAGACACTGAATTACTTGGTCACCAACAGAGGTAGCAACAGGAATTTTGTGGCACAAAGCAGTTGTTCAAGCTCACAGTATAAGTGGCTTTTATAACACTATTGATTCTTTTGTTGCTTTAGTTAAAAATTATGCCAGATGATAAAAATAACTACCTGACCACACAACAGATTTAAAAAAAAAAACAACAACAAACAATTGAAATTCAAAGCCCAATGAGTTATTTTTAAGACTTTAGTTAAATAAAAAGGTAGATTCTTTTTAGTTCCCTGGGTCCTCTGAAGGCTGCTGCCATGGCCCACCAGCTGTTTTTCAGTTTTGTTAAAATCCATCCATGTCTGCACAGATACAATGTTCTTTGGTCATTAATAAAAACGCTTAATACTACTATACAATAAAAAGCATCAGGCTTTAAAAACAAAGGTTCATCACATTACAAAACACTTGACTATGCATGTGAAAAATAATCTTATATCACAGAGTTCATTACTTTTAGGTGCATGTCTCTTAAACTAAAGTCCCTCCACGTGGGAATTTTAAACAAATGTGTATGATTTTGATTCTCTCTTCCACGGGAGGAAGCTTATAAAAGGGCTTAGCAGAGTGAAGTGTTATTTTCCAATAGCAGAAAGAGAGTTCTCTTTCCTGCTGGGTGAGGTACCCTGGGTATCCACAGTTAAAAGGCATTGTCAGAAAGAAAAAAAAAAAGAAAAACCTTTTCTGTGGTTAGGGAGAAATATTTTCCCTCCCACGCCTGTCTCTTACCAGAGACTCGTTGTACAAGCTTATTGAGCAGACACTGTGAAAAGATGGGCAGGTCACACATAACCAACATGGTTTCCAAAAAAAAAAAAAAAAACCCAAAAACCATGCTAGACAAAACTGTTGTTTAAAAAATCTGAGTGGGCAAGTCATTGACCAGGGAATGTTTAATGATGGTGGTTAATTTAAATTTCAGGAAAGCATCTAAGAAAGCAATTTTAGGTTGTCTTAACTGCCCAAATGGAATTTTAAATGAAGGTCTGTAAACTGGAGTTCTGTG